CCAGTGGAGGGGGTCAAGACCCCTCTGGAGAGGGTAAATAGCAGAGCGTCGTGCATCTAAAAGTCCAGTCCCACTTCACGCTTCTGAGTAAAGGCAGTGAAATGTGGAAAGTGTCTGCTGTAAGAAGGGGGAGATGGGAGGGTGTAGGTTTTAGAACAGATATGGCGCTATTAAAAAAAAATTGTCCCCTAATTTGGAAAAGGAACACAAAAAGGGAAGTAAAAATCATATTAGCCAACTGAGGGAAGGTAACAGCAGGGGTTGTCTAAGAAGGCACGCATTTTACACTCAAAGCTGGATAAAACATGATGTTATGAAATGACGGACCCCCTCTTTTTCCCTTGTGATTAAAACTGAGTAACAATGAATAATATAGATGTGTGTTAGCAACGCAGGCCACACACACAAGATAATTTCCTTCCTTCAGTGCTTTGATTATTTCAGCTTGAAGCTGCTCATATAAACTATTTAATTGGCTCCCTGCCTCCTAAAAACAGGACTGTTCTTGCTGTCACCTGTGTGATTGAAATAATCCGGCTTGGTGTGGCTTTTTTTATGGAGCAACCGAGTCTGTCGTGAACCAGCAAAGACGAGTTGTGGTTCTGTGGTTGATGCTTGAGGTTTCTGGGTTGGAGACATGGAGTAAAAGAGAAACCTGCTTGTTAGGAGAAAAGATCAACAGCCAAACATGTACAGCGCCATGCCATATTACAATTTGCAGTTTTTAAACTAACGTTACGTGACAGCACCAATCACAAAATGGAGACATCATAATCTCCAACATATTTATTTTACCAAAAGGGCAAATGATTTTGGAAAACTAGGAAGTTCTATGTTGGAAGATGCATCCTCCATCTCTTAACAGTTCATTTATTTCTATGCAGAATGAATAATGTTGGTTGAACTGTATAGTTTGCTCCAGTACATTATGGTATTGCTATGCGCCAAGGTTGCAAAGTACAGTGAAGACACGACCATAGGAAAACAGAGGAACATACAACAAAACAATGGCCTGTGTTTTTTTTTAAATGTGGCAAAAATTAAGGTGCCTGATGCGAAAATACAGGTCTCTGCTTTTTTAGTCTGACAAGCTTGACTACATGTGTGGAAAGTGCTTATTATCAGCAGTGGGCTACAAAGACCTGAAGGTCTCCACTCAAACTTCCTGTCTCACCTGCACTGTTAAATTTAAAATGTTTCTGTACATATCACACCAGAAACCAGCCCCCAGCCACTCAGCCGGAATGTTCTAGAAACTAGTGGAAGTAAAGATTTTCTTGGTGGGGACCTCGACTTCCCTTCAAGCGTTTGGCCCATGCTGAAGCTGACCCTTGAGCTGCACGTGTGAACTGCCTGTGAAAAACATCCAGTTCACTCCTCGAAACGAGGAAACATCCGCAATTTGGATAATGCGCACCAGCTTGTCCTGCCTGACTGCTAAACCTCGTACTATTCCCCAAATCATGATTAGTCTTTTCTGGAATTCCAGCTTAGTGGGATGAATAATGAGATGACAAGGCCTCTGTAAATAATTCCAGCCCCGAGTGCGAATTATTTAAGGCTTTACTGTCTAGGCTTAAGAGACGAGACTTAAGAAGTATAGCAGTTTACAGACTTCCGCCAAGAACCCAGAAATATCCACGAGCTGACAATGTTGTGGAACAAGGAGTGATAAAATGCAGGAAAAAATAGTTCAAAGATGGCAATGTTAATGCAACCCATGCCTGACATGTTTTGAGCCCTTTGTGCTTTGGATACATATCACTAAAAAAAAAAAAGCCGATGGCTATATCCGTCTTCTTTAAAGACTGCACAGGCCAGGTTGTGTGTAAATTGAGGCCCACAGACAGATGTGTGCTTTACCATGGGGACACAGAAATCAGGCAGGATGTGGGGCTAAGTTTGACTTACACCCCACACAAGACTTCGGCCTTGGTGTGCCATCTATTATGTGTACACAGAGGGCAAAAACTGTCAAAAGCGCTGTAACCATTCAGATATTTGACAGCCCATAATTCACTTCTTTGGAATTATGTCATTAATGTCTATTCTGTACGTATAGCATGTGTCCTGTCTGTCCACATTTATTTATGAGGCCAAGAGACGCCGTCTTTTCAGTAAACAGGAAACACATGCATATACAGTGTATTTTTTATGTGCATGCACATCCACAACACTGTGAGCTTATAAGTTAGTTTGTTGTTTGTTCTTCTGTTCTCAAAGAGGCCCAGACATGACAGAGCTGTTTAGTGTAACTAAAGTCAGTGGCACCTGTAACTGCTCAGCGTTGTGTGTTATTCAAAAGAGGAATGTCAGGGGAAATTACATTTGTTTTGCAGGCAAATTGTAGGCCCCGAGGGGCACTTTATATAATTATAACTCGGCACATGCCGAACATCTTATATTTTTTTGATGAGCTGTTATAGTGTTCTCTAGGTTTTAATGCTGTGCCCGTTTAATCTCAAACCGAGTAAGGTATCATATCTTATTATATTTCCTTTATGCATATTTCTGGAGAGGAAAGTCTGAGATATAAAATGTGTAAAATAAAAAGAGCAGTTTGTAAAGCTCCGCAGTTGGGTGGAACTGAATGGACAAAAAAAAGCCTAAAAAAACAAACTGAAAAAACAGAGAAAAAGAAAGGGAACTGTGAAACCTTGTCTTGTGGACTAAAAATTCTCACAATTACAAACTTCATTTTATTTATTTGGGGTGTTTTTATTTATCATTGTTATGAATAAAGTACTAATGCACAGATAATTGCAAGAGAGGGGCCATAGATCACCACCACAGAAAAAATTAAATTGGATATAAAAACATGCGACAAATGGAACTGGTTTTAAGGTAACTGGCAACTCAGGCATTAATCTAGAGACATCCCACACTGTTGAGCTCTTTACAGGCAGATGGCTTTTAAGTGTCTTTCCTCAGTGCTGTGCCAGTTAGCCTCGCTGTGCCTTGTGTGAATACGTGAGGAAGACAGCGTGTTCTGGGTTTTCTGCCGTGACTCTGTTCAGGGGCTTGTGTAACGTGTACGTGACATGTAGGTTTATTCCAGAGACAAGTTCGTAGACAACTCCAGTGAAATATTGTTAACCTTTCCCTCTACAACAGCACCCTGTGGATAGATGAGTCCTTGACCCTTGTTAAATATTAACCACGATAAACATTTCCATGTTCAGCTGTCAGGTATGTCTGTTTACATTCACATAGAGAAAAGGCTGGCTTATTTAGAGCAACAGTATAATTAAGTCTGAGCAGCTTGTGCTTAGCAAGCATTGTAACCATGTGGCAAGTATTGATTCAGCATCAGCTCTCTGGCAATAGTGCATCTTCTCTCCTCTCTCCCTGTGTCATAATGGGGTGTTTTTTAACGGTTTTGCCTGATAACTTGTAACACTGTCAGGGGGGTCAGAGGATGGAGCTGGAAGGTACTTGCCTTTCGTGTTATTTTTACTGTTGAAAAGACATTTTTCGAAGGGGTACCCCAGTCCTGCCACTTTCCCAACCTCTATAAAACCTTCATAAATGTAGGTTGGGGTTAGGAGTTTCATTTAGTTATGATTCCACCGGGACATTTAAAGACTGTGTCCTTCAGATCCATTCAAGTCTTTGTTATTCCCCTCTGATCTTCTGGGTTTCTTGATCTTCATTGAAGAAGGGTGCAGTTTTGGAGGGAACATTCGCTGGATCTATCTAAAACCTCGTCTCAGGGATAAGCCTACATGTTGCATCTGAGTTGAATAAATCCCTGGAAGCAGCTACTACTGGAAAATGTAAAAAAAACAAAACCCATTTCCCTTTCCACTGAATAACATCCAGGTACTTCCTTTTATTTCTGTCTGCTTCAGTTACGCTGTGTAGTAAACTGATCCTTATGTCGACTGGGAAAAGAAAAGATGAGAGAGAAGGGCTGCCAAGCATTGTAAAAAAAAAACGTCTTTAGTGTGCGTGACCCCGTGTGAGAGGAGCACATCGGAAGCAAAGCATTTGAAGCAGATTTGCTGTCTTCCCACAAAGCAGAGGGAGCTACAAACCTGCTGGCAAGCAGACAAGCAGGAACACCGCGTGGAAGGACAAACGGAAGAGTGCTCACTCATTCATCGAGGAGCTGTGGTTGACAGAGGCATAATCCCCACCAGCGTACGTTACGGAAACTATCCCGTCGGATTTTCCGGCAGGCTTCCACCACCTGTGTGCTCTTCAGAAGAGGACGTTCCTTTTGTGGCCTTTTGTTTGCGCCGTCGCCGCCCCTTCCTCGTCGCTCAGGCTCAGTTTCAGCAGAAACTCTAGCCTGGGCTTTGAAAGTGGGCCTGCATTAAGTGGGGGGAAAAAAAAGGTTTCCAGACCCCCTCAGGCTCTTCCACTCAAGTAGTCGGGCCCTGTCGCAGACTCTGCCAGCTGGCAACTGTTATCAGACACCTTGCTGGTCACCGTGAGTGACGGCCCCAGAGAGTAAAGCTATTCTCCTGGTTCATCGGAGCAGCTCGTCTTCCCTTTCCCTCCTTTTCAACCCTGTCTCTCCCTCTTGAGAGCAAGAAAACAAAAGCAGAGGATGCTATCAGGCTTTGTCATCTTGTCTGCCCGTCGCTCAGACATGACTCCGGTTGTCCGTTTCCTGGGGAATAGTAACCACAGGCACACTCCCAAGTCAGGAAAAGAGCGGGGGAACCCAAGCCACTTCTGTGAAAAGGGTCACTTACCATCCGCCAGAATGTGCCATGCCTTATTGCTTTTTTGTTTTGTTTTTTTCTTTCACTCTTCTGAGCTCTTTACTGAGAACCCCGGCTGGGTTTTGCTGTTATTTTATTGCTTGGTTTATTTATCTTTTCGATTTGATCCGCTGTCCGGAGTTTTTGCTTCTCCCCCCCCACCAGTTACACCATCATTTCTCATCAGAAGAGGCGTCTGGTGGGGGAGGTCCAGATTTCTCCAGAGTGGTGTCTATTGGTGTGTAAAGCAGTGCTGTGATTTGTAACAGAGGTGTGTTTCTTTCCCAGGTGTTCCATGCAAATACAGACCCCACGGAAGTGGTTCTGAACAGGATCCCCCAGCCGGTGTTGGCTCGCTTTGTGCGGATCAGACCCCAGACTTGGGAGAACGGAATCGCCCTCCGGTTTGAACTTTATGGATGTCAGATCACAGGTATGTGTGCAGAAAGCCTGTGATGGACCCATGATCCAGTTAAATTCCTCATACATTCCAAGACAGATTTCTGTTTGCTGGCTTGTCAGTTTTATTTAAAAAAGGAAGATTCAGTTCAGGGGTGTGAGAGCAATTTGGGGTCTGTCTACAGCTGTGATTTCTTATGACGGAATACAAAATGTGAGGTTTTGTTACAACCTCCATAAATGTGTGAGAGGAACATGCATTAAGTGTTTTGAAGTCATTTCTATGCTCAAGTGGCCCACCAAAAAAAGATTAATGTGCCTCATATATGTTAAGGCCTTGCAAAACCCTTCCAACCTTTTTTCAAATGTTATTACTAAAACCACACTTCTACCTGAGTTTACCTGTCCTTTCATTTTTCTTTGGCACTTGACTGTCTCATGAAATGGCCTTTGGCACATGTGAAATAGATGAACTCTAGGTTATCATGCATCACTTCCTGACAGTGGAGTCAGCGTGGGAAGGTCATGCAGGGTATTTCAGTTCTCTCTGCTTCAAAAAGAAACGCTCCACAGTGCGTTTTGAGAGCGACTCCATTGTGCATCAGCGAATGACTCAAGAAAGGCAATTTGAAACACAGTGCAAATGAGAATCATGGGATGTCTCGAGGAACAAGGGATCACTTGTGAAGATGTTTGACGTTTTCCAGTGTGGCGTTCAGAAGGGGTGACATCTTTTTAACAGTTCACCAGGAATAACAACACACAATTAAGTGTACTGAAAGGATTATGGAGTGTTTAGTCAAAATTTTGTCTACACCCACTTGGCTGAGCGCCAACCTCCTGGCGATAGGATGAGGAGGCTCATGTAGAGTGAGGAGTGACATGGAGGCAACTGCAGAGGTGGAGCCTGACAGCTGAGTCTGATTGAACTGTTGTCATTCCTCCCAAACTGTCATTATAAACTCTGTTGAAATGCAGTAAGAGTCCAAAAGGCCAGTGCAGGCCCTCTACTCCGGCTGCCACCTCATTCTCTGTTCACATTGTTTCTCCAGGCCAGGACAGGCTAAGGAGTGAGCAAACAGGAGTGGGGCATGTGGGGAATCCTTCAGTCATTGCAGATTATTTGTTATGTTGCCGTCCGGCGATAATTTTATCTCCAAAGAGATGCCAACCAGCTTCGTGCACCAACATAAAACCTTGACACATACAGCACCATAAAAGAGCAGATAAAACATGCTCTCAGAGATTCATTACAAGTAGAGCTCAGGGATGTAATTTGCTCAATCAATTTTTCCCCCCTCTGCCTGCTGAGTTATAGCCCTCACAGGGAAGCCGTATATTGGATCGGATCTGGGCTATTTGATATGTAAGTGACATGGTCTCTTTTCTGTAACACAGATGGTTTTATCTTTGAATTCATGGAGCCATCACCCTGCTACTGCCCACAAAACCCATCACTTAAATACCAAGATAGATGGCTTTACGAAAATGAAATGAAAATATCCATTTGTTTTGGGTGGGCTCCAATTTCTCCATCGAAACATAAGTGGAATTGCTGTGTTTTGGAAGAATCCCTTATATCATGCTGTGCTGTTCCAAGTTATCTAAGTAATGTATGCATCTATTAGAGTATGATTAATTTTCTTTATATATAATTAAAATAACATTCTTTTAAGAACATAGAGGAATATCAGATGAATTACAGCTAAACATTTCCGTTACCTGAACAAGCAGAACACCCCCCTTACATGTGAATATAGTGAGATACTAATTAGTAGGAACTCATGATGAATTTAAGGCTTTTAGAAAAGAGTAACCAAAGAAATAAATTGGATTTTAGCCTAGTAGTTTAATAAAATCTGGTGTCTTTTTGCATACTGTAAGTACTACAAGAAGGCTTCTGTATTGCCTGTGTGAGCTGTTCCCAAGTCAGCCTTGGAGTCCTTTTGTGGGAAATGACAGCTGGCTAGTCACACCGAGAACCACTGTAAGAATGCAGGGTTACTCTGAGCTGGAAATATGTGTCCTTCAGCTGTTGAACAACTCTCAGGGTTAATGTACGGGAATTTATCAGAGCAAGTTTGTCACCACCTGATAAGCACATGAGAAGCATGTACACACATACATTGTCCTTACCAAATGTGCAGGAGAATTTGATGCCTAACTGGGTAGGGTTTAGAGTGCTGTAACTGGAAAAGCAGATCACTGTGATGCTTTGCACAATAATCTGGGTACTTAGTGGGGATGTGTTTGAGAAGTTTAGGCTGATAGCTCACTCTTTTCTTGATAGCCATTCCATACCCTCACCGATTGTTCCTATCAGGAGTTTTCTCAAAGGTTGTCACTGATTGTGAGACTTCGTGTGCATTAAATAGCAATAACCTCTGGCCCTGGCTAGCATGGTCTGCTGGCATACAATGCCCATGCCATGCTTTCCTGACCCCTCTCTCTTTCATCCGTGCACAGATGCCCCCTGCTCCGACTTGCAAGGCATGCTCTCGGGACTCATCCCTGACTCTCAGATCTCCGCCTCCTCAACGCGGGACATGCACTGGTCCCCCGGTGCTGCCCGTTTGGTTGCCAGCCGCTCGGGGTGGTTTCCCAGAGCCTCACAGCCGCTGGCCGGGGAGGAGTGGCTGCAGGTGGACCTGGGACTCCCCAAGATGGTCAGGGGCGTCATCACCCAGGGGACCCGTGGAGGAGAGGGCAGCACCGAAAACCGCGCCTTTGTCAGGAAGTACCGGGTGGCTTACAGCATGAATGGCAAGGACTGGGACTACATTATCGACCCAAGAACCATGCACCACAAGGTGAGCTCTTGCAGAGGCTGACGGAGTGCCCCGTTTCTCTTTTAATGAGCAACCAGGTGGTCTTCAAGAGCCTTGAGTAAAGCTTTTCAATAGGTATAGTGTCCTTCATGGCACATTGTCATGTTAACAACTATTCATGGTAAAGGTGAACTGATTGATAAATAGATCATAGATTGATAAAGGTGAACTGATTGATAGGTTACAAGAAACTTTGCTTTTGGACTTTTGTTTCAGTTTAATGGGCACAACCACCTATTTTGTCATTGCCTCTTAACTGACTGCTTTTCTGAGCCATAATACACGTGTGCTAGAATTATTGAATTTTTATCACTTTTGCTAGGGTCATTAAATTCTGATCTTCTTGTGCACAGCTTGAGTCTTTCCCCACCTAGGGTAGAGAGGCCTTTGTACCTTCATGCACAATTACTATGAAAGGTTGTGGCTAGCTATTCAAATTATTAACTCTTACACATTCCGCACCTGCTTGGAATGTTTGATTACTGTGTATGATGGAAGTATTGCATTCAATTAAGATACTAGGATTCCTAGTGGAATCAGGTGCAATATACCTAAGGCTGCTAGATCTAAGTGGGTTTGAGTTGACTGGTATATCCTGGTATTGCATGACTGATATATCAGCATGGCATGCAATAGTCAGAGAGCTCAGGACATTGAATGTGTTACAGAAGTTATGCATGCTGCTGAAATCTGGACAGTGTAGAATTCTTTGGTCTTTTAGCATTGTTGTCCGATGTCAAGTTTAGAACGTGTGTACTGGGAACAATTCCTGATAGGATTAGGGAGGGCTGCAGATACCAAACCCATGATTTTGTTTAGCTCCCTCATTGCTACTGGCAGCTCCCAGTAGCCATAAGAAGTGGCTGGCATATTTCAGAGCGTGTGAGTACATCACGTTCCTGAGGGTTGTAGCAGCAAATGGATTTGCTCAAGAATGGTCAATTCCATGCTGAGTTGGTGTGTGGGAGAATGAAAAAAAAAATGACAGCACCTGCTAATGCAACTTGATAATGTGGTGAGTGCATAAATATCAGAGCTGACTGGTTTTTGTGTGGCACCCAGCTCTTTGAAGGAAACACAAACTACGACACTCCAGAGATCCGGCGGTTTGAAGAGGTGATGGCTCAGTATGTCCGAATCTATCCAGAGAGATGGTCCCCTGCTGGGATTGGAATGAGGCTGGAGATTGTGGGCTGTGATCCATTGGGTAAGATTGATATTCATTCCTCCAGTGACATACCTTCTCAGGATGTTACAATGCTAATATGTTAAGTTCTCTTTTTCTCCTCAATTTTCAATGGCCAAACTAGTGTTGGATGCATCATGATGTTGATCATGATGACTTCAATCTAATACTCTGTGAAACATGGAATTCAAAAGCATTTTTTTTAGATGTGAATGAACCTTTTCCTTTGAATAAGTCTCTGATGTTTTAAATATTCTGGTAAATATGTGGACACATGGCTGGAAATTGTTTTTTCAACAAGACAAGATCCTTTGAGGTTTTTTTTCTTCTCTGGTTGATTTTTTTTTTGAAGGCGAGAATTTAGAGGATGGAGCATCCAAGATCAGAGGGAACTCCGTTTTTAGCGGCTCTAAAAAAACCCGAAAAGGTTATGACGTATCATAAATCCTTTCATGAGTATCGGCTCGGCTTTGATCTGTGACATAAAGCTGACAATGACTTGAAAGTCACCGTGGCACGTTTTGTTCTGTCTGTTGGGTTTTGCGTCCGCGCTGATTGCAAACGTCTTCCATTCATTTAAAAATTTGTGCTTAAAAGAAGGTGATGGCTTGAGTTTTTGATGGTTTTTAAAATGCAAGCAGACAATAAAGCCACAGGCCTGAGAAACTGGGCTGCCGAGCTGTTCAGGGAATACAGTGATTGCTCATTCCAGGGCTGTGCACCAGATGTTGGGGATGTGTGTGTGTGTGGGGGGGGGACAGCTTTTTAAATTTTTAACCACATCTATAGACAACTGGGCTTTCACAGTTCCTATCGCAGGAAGCTGGGGAATGAATGAGGCCTGTTATCAATCTCTGCCGAGAACACACACAAGCTCCCCCTGTATGCCCAGCTCCACTGGCCTGTGGGGAACTCTCCGAACCAAACAGGTGGCCCCTTGGTTACACTGAATGGCTTGTTGGCTTTCTATCACAAGCTGGGGGACCTGCTCAGTCTTGCCTGCTTCCAAGCATGGGACATCAGGGCTGATCTGTGTTTTAGGAAGGGATCAGCACAGGAGCGAGACACTTGGCCTAGCCTCAAGGGAAGTTATGTAATTCCCAAGCTGAAATCGCCATGAAAAGCCGACAATAGTCTATCTACACCATGCATCCATAAATATGCGTATATAATATCTCAGAGCAAAATGTTTTCTACCAAGAGGAAGGGAATTTAAAAACTTGACCCTACGTCAGATCTCCGTTAACTGCACAGATAAACATCTGCTGCAAAATCTAGTCAAACCAGAAATACTAATGCCGTGAAAAAAGGACCTGCTTAGGGTGCCCCACGTCCGACAATTAAAAAAAAGTGTCAAATGTTGTCAGGTTAGAGCCTGTCACGTACTTCTTCTGCTGTCTCTTCCCAGAATAATGTCTTACTCAACTGAAAAAATATAGCCCTGCACAACATAGCTCTTACCGGTCTCCAGTGATGCCTTTTCACGTTCTGTTTACGAGTTTGGACGGCTTTTGGCTCGTCCTTTTTGGCTCTTTCCTTCTGATTTCACCTTCTTGCAATTAAACTGTTCAATACGTTTTCAGTAAATAAACAGAGTTTCAGGCAATAAATACACAAAAGTGAGTTCCCACGCACCCCACGAGTGAGCTGTTATAAACCACAGGCAGATAGACTGCAGGATTTATAGGAATTCACTGTATAAGCAGAAGAACCCAACCTGATGACTTTCAAACGCTGTGCTCGGGCAGATGCATATCTTCAGCTGTCAGGGAGCACTAGTGCTAATATTTGCTATGCTCCTGGATGATATTCCCTTTAAGTAATGGAATGGTAAGACGAGCTCTTAAAGCATAGAATGTAATAATTTTAGCTGCGGTGCCAAGCCAGGCTCTTGTTGATTAAGCTCCAGAATAACGACGTGCACAGGACACAGAACAGAATAATCCATTAATAATACGCCGTGGCTGGTTTCCAGGTAAAGACCTGTATATCAGAGTCTGGCTCGTGCTCAAAATCCCTTCCTCCAGTCTCTAGTTTACTCTAATAATATCTTTAGGATAATTTACTTCAAGGGGGTTTGCAACCAGATAGGCACGCTCATAATCATACCTTCTGAATGCACATCACATATTTAAAGACGATCCGCCACTTTTGCCTTTGAAGTTTGCTCACATATGGATCTGTTTAGCTGACTTTGTAGGACACAGTTCAGACACTCTTGAGAGAGCAGAGATATCCATGTTGTGTAAATATCGTTCCTCTTTCACATTGTGACTCAGGTTATCTTGAAAAAATAAATCGTCTCGACACTATCGCTTACGAGTTAAAGAAATTCAACATTCACGATATTGACTGTTCCTTCTTTTCTCAGTTCTTTTAGAATGAACCTGCTGCGCATAAAAAAGTAGCTTATTTTTATTCAGTACTGTATATGCTCAGTTTAAGAAGAAATGTGATATACGCTTTCTGCTGAATGATTTAATTTTCTTGGCCGATGCTAAAGGTAACTTAAAGTTAAGACAAATATGACACAAAAATGCACTGTAGTGCAGTACATGAACTGAGAAGGCACTTGGATCCTTATTAAAGCAAATATACAGTCAGTACATTTCAAATACTCTGTAGCAGGTTGGCTAATATTGGTGGGCAAAAAAATCCAAATGTACTTGCCAAATCACTCTTGAGTTGAGCTGTTTCCCCAGTTAAAACGGGGTCTTGTTTAGAAAGAGTGGAGAACAGAGATTAAAGTCTTCGCAATAGTGGGGGGGGCGGGGGGGGGAAGGCTGGGAATTGTCATGGCAAGATGGAAAAAGTCAGCAGCATCACAAGGAGGAAATGCTGGCCATGACGACTCACAGGCTGTCGAGGCACGGAGATAGATTGCAGGATTTAGAGCTTTTGGTTGAGCAGCTGAGATCTGAGGAAGTCGGTCACAGATGGTGCAGTCCTAATCATCACAGGCAACTTGCTCTGCCACAGGAAAGAAACATAGGAGAATGACTGAGGATGGGAGAGCAAGTGAAGGTTCCAGCCAGGCAGTATTGGTATTAGCAGTGGTGGCAGTAGCAGAAATAGAAGTACCAGTAGAAGACGTGGTAGTAATGAGATAATGGATGCCAAAGGACCACTCTTCCTTTGAGTTAGAGCAGTTGTGGACTGTTATCTTTTTTCACACACACACTATTCCAAGTTTATATATAATAGCCGTTTTTACATCCCCTTTTAACCTTATATTTTATCTTACAAATAACACTCACTTTTGTTTTATATTTCCCTGTTTGTTCAGTCTGCATCTCTATGAAATACCTGGCTTTCCATGAACTCCTGACTTTATTTATTGGCTTAACTGACGCTCAAGCAGGTTTTGTTTTTACAGGTTTCACCAATGCAGGATGGGACAAGTGTTGTCCCAGTGGCACCGAGATTTAGATTTAGCACAAATGAATTGAAAACACCACATATTATTTTAATTACTCCGTCTCGCATTTCATTTCAGTCAATTAAAAAAAACCAGCTCAATGTTTACTGAAGGCTGTTATTATTATACAGTAGTTTTCTCTGGATACTACCCGAAGGGCATCTGTTTTTTTTAATGGAACACTGACAATTTTATTGTCAATAAGTGTTTTTATATATTGTTTGTATATGTATGTAATTAACACATTTTAAATGTACATCATTAAGCTCGGGACCCCATGGATAATGTCTTATTCCTCAACATTTAGCCTCCAGTCTGTTCATTCTTGCTTAATGCTCATATCACAACAGGCCCTTAAAACAAAGCTATTACTTGTTCCCGGACCTTGCTTTTTCAAAGCTGGATGAGGCCAGATATTATATGAAGAATCAGTATTGTGCCAGAGAAAGCTTTACTGAAAGACTCTTTACATAATTAAAGATATTTTTCACTTTTTTTTACCTCCTCTGGAAGAAATTGCTGCGTCAGTAGCTTTGCAGTCAAAATTCCAGACAGCTTCCAACAGGCGTTGGACTCTGATGCAGAGGTAGTGAGGCCTCAGTCTGCTGGCAGCTGTTTTGTTTATAGCAAACAACATGTGTTTCCAATTGCCTTTCTCCAATACACCAGTACACGGACTTTGAAATTGGCAACTGCTCGGTAGAAGCTCCTTCAATCGTTTTTCTGCAGAGGAGATCACTTTATTGACCATATACAATTTCTTGCATTAGGAATTTGTCTTTTCGCATACTCCAACTTGCTGTCTGTGAGACACAGACACACAGACAGGGAGAGAAGCTTGGGGTCAGAGCGCAGGGTCAGCCATTGTACAGCGCCCCTGGAATACCTGGGGTTAAGGGCCTTGCTCAGGGGCCCAACGGAGTAGGATTCCTCTGCTGGCCGCGGGATTTGAACCACAGGCGCAGATCCTTAGCCGTAGTGCCACCACTCCGCCCGGATAGAAGTTAGCTATCCGACAAATGTTCAGTTCTCTGCAAACGGCATTATTTGCATTCTCAATGAAATTAAATGCAGTTGCAAATCTGATGTTAACTCAAGTTTTAATCCCAATGTGTAGTTTTTACCTGCGTGAGGATAGGAACTGGAATTTAAATAAATAACAGTCAGTCTGTGAAAGCCATTCAAGCTGGATAGGATTTTGAGGGATTGTAGAACTGCTGGTATTTGGGGTTTTAAATGATCCAGTTATTAACCCGGTGATTCTTAAACCCAATAATACTTAAATTTGCTCACATGATACATTCTTTGTAAGGCACCAATCACTGTTCAACCCAGCAACAGATAGGATCTCATAACAGAGAAGCATGTGGGAAAATGGAACAATTCTGAGGTTTTCTGGCCTGCCAAAGCTAATACAGGACTTAAGAATTCCCCTGTTAACGGCATTAAATTTCAACAGACAGAGCCCAGAATCTCATTTTGTATCCTACTTCTAGACCTTTTAAACCACTTGAGACGGCACTTCTCAGAGAAAAAACATTAACTTTAGGGCAACTTTTAAAAAAAACGTGCTGAGAGGGCCCTCTGAATTCCTTGAAGGAAATGTCATAATGACGCACCCAGGAAGGTAGACCCGTAGTTCCCTCATTCCTCTGCGTTCGGTTGCTCTCAGTTGCAGGCGGGTGACATCGGACCAGCGTGCTAAATGCTGCGAAAGGTCAGATTGTTTACTCTGTGACAACAGCTGACCTTTAAATCGGAGAGCGAAAAAGTTCAAATTAATACTAATCGTGTCTTATTTTATGTTAAACGCCCTATCTTACATTAATTTTGTATGGAATGGTAATGTCAATCTTCAAGTGGAGTGGAGCAGACAGTGCACTCTGCCTCTTACACAGCACTGCAATGTGGCCTCCAAGAGGGTTAATTGTGTCTCTAAAGGGCATGGCATTAATACATTTTAATGTCAAAATATTGCCAGCAGTGTTTTTATGGTTTCTCTTTTTATGTTTCGCCTAAGATGATTTTTTGATTGCAGTTCCTTTCACATTTTTGCCAATTACTTCCAAATTAGCATTCTCTGATCCCGCTAATTAGATTGTTAAAATTCTCTCTCCCCCCCCGTTAATCATGTCATTAGCCCAACTTTCTCCGAGATACTGTAACTGCCCTGAAACTAGGAAAGAAGTTGCCGATGGTCTCCAGCCTAAGTGATCCGTTTAGGTTTAATGGTTATCTGCGATTGAGCCATGCTCATCTTAAGCATCAGCGCCACTTTTAAATGATCTTTGGCTCCTTTTACCAGCATCTCCTAATTCTTAGGAGGTATCCTACCCAAAACGTATAATACCTGATACTTTTAGCAATAACAAATGAAGAAGAGGTTAAAAATGCCAACTACCATACATTGCACTAAGGTATTTTGAAAGAAAGCATTTTAAGTACAGAGTCAAAGTTTAAGAACAATATTGCAGCTTTTTATTTAATGTAATTTATTGTAACTGAGAAGGCAGATTATGAATGTCAGGATGGTGTAGCGTGTTCCTCAAGGGTGCCTTCAAAGAGTCTTTGATTTTTTTGACATCACTGGAAGAACAATTTCCTCCTCATAGTTTTCCTTTTTTGCTCATAACTTATAACCCTGGTCAGTGTTCTTTAAACCCACCGATGAATGACATATTCTTTTGAGTAGTTTTCCATTTGTTCAGAATGGGTGGGGGGAGATAAAGGAGTGGAGAGTCTACAGACTACAAAATCTTGGTTTTGCTGTGAAATATGGATTGTGTTTTTATGAATTTAAGAAAGAGGTGATTTCTGCTTCTGAGAAAAGAAAAAAATGTTTTAACTCTATGAATAAGGAGCTGCAGTTTGGTTTTGTTGACCCACAATGTTTATTTCAGTATATCTTTTCATGCCTACTTTGCTTTTAGATATTCATCCTTTGTGAATATTGAGGAGCTTGTGATGAATGCCAATACACATCAAATGGTAGTATTTAACTTTCACAACTGTTTAAATTTAAGTTAAGTTAAGTTAAGGGAATAAAATAGACTTACAGGGATAGGGATACAGTATGTAACTACCTGAGTAAACAATGTGTACAATCCTGATTAAACTATGTTGCTGAATTGTCCCTAAGAGGATTCCGTAGGATGTAGCCATTTTGGCTCATATGTAAACCAAGAGTAGATACTGAGCCAAAATGGCTACTTCCTACAGAATTGTCCCAGTGTCACCTCTGCTGCATAATCTATATGAATGTAAACTTGCTCATAATATCCTTTTCCTATAGAATTCTTCCCATTTTCCTATTTAAGTGGTAATCTCAATTTTCCTTTCTTCACAGAACCTACCTCCATCACTGACATGGCCACACCCACTGTCCAGAGAGAAAACCACACCACCACGGTCCAGGCACCATGTGTAGGAGATCCGTCACGGTGCTCAAAAGACAGCCAAGGTGAGCCTGCAGTGTCAAGCATGCTGTGTTGAAGTTAGCTCCCACTTTCCATCTAAACATAATATAATTGAACATTGAATACATCCAGTGACGCAGGATTCTCTCAGTTTCTGTGCCAATAAATTAAGGACACTAGGAAGGTCACAAATTAGAACCAATCTAGTTCAATTGGTTGCTTGCTGATTGCTAATCCAAGAAACCCTTTCAGGCCGTGTCTTGAAGGATCCCATATAGTACAACTGCAATCACCAAAGGCACTTTATACTGGAATCGCACCGGATTGTGTAGTAGCCTGCAGTCGTTTCGTGAAATAAACCCCATTTCGAAAGCTTTCTGGGCAGCGCTCAAGAGTGGTCTCTGATGGCCATTCTTTTGCTTCTGCATGGGAAGCAGCATTTCCCATTGGCAGCCCAGAAAACCTGACATGGATCCATGGGTTGTGCGCTGGGACTGCTTTTGCTGTTCTGCTGTGCTCAGTGTTTATTGTCAGGCTGTTTATTCATTGGGGGTATCCTGTTGGGTAAATGAGAGTCACGTCACTGCATGACCCCAGCAGGGTCACGGGGCAGAAAAGGGAGTGCATCACAATGGACAAGTGGATGTCTTTTCCTGCCATAGCGTCACAATTGATCACCTGCCCTCCATTATTTGAGAGTCTTAACAGGGAGGGAGTTCCTGATTGATGTCACTTCACCCAATCAATACCTGCCTGCTTACTGACAGTGAAAGACTGGACAAGGAGAGGGGGAGGTGGGGTAGCCTTGTTGGGCAGTAGCACTTTCTGAGACTTTTTCTGAAATTGAAGGGGAAGAAAACGATCCCAATACGAGTATGTGGCACCTACTCCTTTTCAGCTAACCTGTCGGTCTGTTTGGGTTTGAAACTAAACCACACACATATTGAAGATGCACTGTCCTCCCTTCCATGATAAGGTTACAAGCGACATTACTGTAGTAGGGATGTGTTATACAAAACATGGGCACAATGCCAGACACATAACAGAGCAGTCTCAATCCCATCAGCATAGGATAGCTTGGTCTTGTGCACAGTGCAGGACCTGGAGAAGACAAGCCACTCAGGAGTCTGTTGTTTATACACCAGGCTCAGAGAAGCGCCGGAAGGCAGAAATTTCATTTTGGAAACAGTGCATCAAATCTTATTTCAGACAGGCTTAAAATTTGAGCTAGAAAAAGCAAGTGCTCCAGCTCACTCTGAAAGCAAATCAAATCCATTCAGTGTATATATCCTTTGCTTTATTTTTTTTTTTAATGGAAGGAGTCTATTATTACATGATCCTAGACATTCAAGTGTTATGCTGCAAGCCTTCGAAAATAGGCAGATGATGTTCCTCATTGTCTCTTGGCTGATATAGGTTGGCTCTAAGTGGGCTGTTTATGAAGCCAGAAGGTGATGAATTCAAATGATACAGGGAGAGCTTCAGGCCTTCTTGTTATTAAAGAGCTTGTGACATCTGTTTCTGTAGTTCAGTGCTACAAAGCTATAGAGCTAACACCTTTAGGCCTGGTTGCTCCTTTTGCTCCTAATGTTTGTTTCCTTCCCATCTGTTTCAAAGTGACATTCAGGACTGGAAATAATCTAGAAAGAAAACAGTTCCCATGAGTCTTTTTTTAATGTCGTCTGGATTTCATTAACGTTCCGCAGATCACTAATTAGTCCGGGGGTAATGTCTCTAAAAGATGTTTTTTTTTCTCTCTCTCTCCCCTCTGTGTCTGTGTGTGTGTGTGTGTGCCTGCATCTCCCTCACTGTTACTTACAGTCCCAGCGACCACCGCAGCCTCCAGTGGAAACTCCCTCTGCGATTTTGAGCAAAACCTCTGTGGCTGGACTCACGACCCCGTGTCCGACTTCAACTGGTCTCTGCACAGCGGCAGTGGTACTCTCGGCCTGGGTCCCAGCCAGGACCTCTTCCTGGGGTCAGACGGTGAGTGGGGTGCCGACCGCCAGTGGTCACCCTGGGTGAAAGGCTCAGGCTCCACAGAGAGTAAACATCCCCCAAGAAGGAAGCGTGCTGCTCCTTGCCCAGTCAAAGCTCCAACTAACTTACTTCATCACGTGCGACGGTCAGAGAAACTAGAAACAACAAACATGGGGTACTCCTGTAAAACCACATCCTATAGCTTTGTTCCCTCCTCATCCTACCCTTCCGTATTGTATAATGGTGAATCCAATGCAGGCCAGAGCTCTTCCTTTCCATGGAGTAGGTGGTTGGCTACTTAAAGAAAAGGACTTGACCAGTAGTTTCACTCACAGTTTAGGCAATGGCTTGGTGCAAGCTGCCCTTAGCAAGTCACTTAACCGACACGTGCACTTGAGTGATAAAATCACAGCGCTGTTACAGTTAGCCGAGCTGCAGTAGCGGGAGGTGATCTGTGCTTTACCCCTTGGTTACTGTAAATCTCTTTCGCTAACAACATCTGCTAAAATGACTTATGACTGAAACTTGAAAAAAACAAGGGGGAAACAGTCGTGTCCTTCTTTGGCATTTATTCCTTAATTCCCAACATGCAAAATGGTGTCCTCAGCCAGCATATCTAGGTTTTCCTTTTATTTATCTGAGGCCGAAACATTTTCCTACCGAGCAGCGTTTATAGAAAGAGAACAGTATTATTGCAATTCATTTATCGGAACTACTTGTTTGTTTTTAAGTTATATGCTGATAAGGATTATAAAGATTATAGTTCAAATAAACCGGCTGATCAGAGCTGGGTCTGGTCTCCAGAGGTCAAGCCTAGATAAGACTCTTGAAAATAGGATTGGAGCATAACTATTAATGTAACTGATGAGCAATTATGCTCCACTTCTGGACCTCATTTTTCTCTATTTTCGGTGACAACAACTTTCAGAGTCTTGACACAGATAGTACAGCAGCCAGAAAACAGCAAGCACAGAGCAGAGCAGGCACCAACACGACAGTGTGCGATAACATAGATGGTCATGCAGAAGCCTTTATAGCTCCATTTGATTTTGCAGGACCTAATTAAATATTGCCAACTAGTTTCCCATTGTGTTTTAGAATAATTCCTCTACCAATCACGAGGCCATGCAGAAGAATGGCACAAGCATGTTGCAAAACAACATGGAAGATGAAAACATTATGACATGGAAATAGACTCCATAGTTTGGCATGTGAAGTCTTCTGTACTTTAAAGACATGAACGCCTGCAATGTTTGAAGAAATGCCTTTCCATATTAGTCCTAGTCTACATACTGTAGGACTGAGGTATGATAACTCTCCAAAATGCAGTCCCATTGACAGGAGAGGCCCCATTTCAACTAACTTGTATAGTGCACTGGGTTTAAGTAAGTTTGCACTAGTCAATATATGTGATAATATCACATTCTTAGCATTTTGTATAAATTTGACTTGTTTTCATTTTTCGGTCTTGTTTTTGTGCTTGTACATTCTTTTCCATTGGTCCCTTTACTGTGCTTTATTACTCTAGACTGGAATGGTATTATAATCCCCTGTAGTCAATTCTTATAGTACATGACAACCTTTAATAACATCACAATAAAACCTGATTTTATGATACCATAGTGTAGTAAACAAAAAGGTGAAAGCTAAATGATAATAGCAAAGATATTAGTGTGAAACAGTTGAAAGAGGGGGAAAACTACCATGTGCATTTTTCATGGATTGCTTTCACAGAGGCATATTGGATGAAAGGATGCCTATATATTATTTCCAATGGTGCCATTCTTCACCTGAAGGGGTCTCTTGGAGGTTATAGTTATGTCTAATAAGGGATTCATAGATCTCTGCTGATGGAATTTCTGAGGTGGCGTGGCTACAAGCTGCTTTGAATACAGCTGGTGGAATCTTTATTTTCCCCATTATGGGTTCTGGGTTAGAACGGAGCTATTGTTCTCAAATGGTTCTGGCAGCCATTTTGGGTCTTTGAGCGTAGGAGCCTGGCCCAACATTACTGAGAACTGTCCATGCCTCTTTCTTCACTGCTGCCAGTTTTCCTTCCCAGCAGGGAGTCTTTGTAGACGAAGCCCTGCCCTGCCTCTGTTTTTCTTGAGCGTGCGTGTATTGTGTAATTTGTACCAAAAAAAAAGATTTAATTCACTAGTTTGATGAGAGGTTCGAGCGAGAGATTTTGGAGGTGGGTCATCTTGACCTTTTTCTCTTTTTTTTTTGCTGTGACAAACTCATACCGTTTAATTGCTTTTGTAAAAGGGGAAGGAAAAAAGAGCTTCAGAGCATTTTGTCTACCAGAAGACACGCTGCTACGCTTCCTCGTTCTCAGGGCAGAGTTGCCTACTTTTTTTTTTAGAAGTAATTTCTTCTCTGACTAATGAAGCCCAGTGCCTGTTGGTGACAGTGGCTCAGATCACAGTTAAGAGAGTCTGCCACGCGCTTCTCCAGATTCCAGCTCAGTCCCTGGCAGCATGATGATGTTTAATTAATATAATAACCCTTCACAGGAAGCAAGAGCCCCGTTCTCTTCTTTCTGGCTGAACTTTTCATTTCCCCTCCTCTGGGATTCTGTAATTGTTCACTCTGTCTCTCCCCCCACCTCAATAATAAGTCTTTAATGTCTGTTTAGAAAATGGTCTGATCTGGCTGCTTTCTCAGCACTTACAGCGTCTGTTCCTCTATAGGGTGAAGCCGCTTGTTAACTGGTTGCTTGTCTTCTCCTGTTTGAGCCCTTGCTCGGTAACCTGTAGAGGCAATACACGTCCCATTAAGACATGTCTTTGCGTCTTTGAAAGGACAAAAATGCAATCAAAGCACAGTTTTATGTTTAAAGGTTGTGGACTCAATGGATTTCACATCCTGCTTCAACTCTATTTTAGTAGGTCGATGAAAACCCTAATTAAGGCGGAGAAGAGGTGCAATTTTTATCCCACCTGGCTGAGAGGAATGACAGGCTGTAGGAACCCTCCACCTACACGAGGAATGAGCCAGTGAGCTGCTGGGAGGGTCAAGACAGGGTGGAGGGAGGGTTTGCAAAGAACCGCGAGATTTATTTGTAGGTAGGCGGACGTGGGTGAGACTAGGCTTCGACCTCCTCCTGAACGTCTGTTTAAAACTCCCATTTAGTTTGCATTTAGATTTAGTAATTGATACTAGCGATGTTTGGTAGCAATAACTGCAAACAGGCTAATTGCCATATGGAACATATTGAGCAAGATTGCTTTTAATGTTTCCAGAAAAGTCCAAGTAATTATTGATATTTATCACATAATGTATATAATGGGCAGTACAGCGGTGCAGCGGTTAGCGCTGGGGCCCTAGTTTCATTTCCGGACCTGCGGTGCTAGAGTATCTGTGTGTATGTTCTTCTCATGTTTGCATCCTCTTGGTGCTCTTGTTTCCTCTGACTAAAGACATGCTGGACGGTTAATTGGCTTCTGGGAAAATTGGCCCTAATATGAATGTGCGCTTGACTGTGTCTGCGTGTATACACTGGCACCCTCTCCAGGGTGTGCCCAGTCTTGCATCCATCGATTGCTGGGTTAGACTCCCCTGCAACCTTGAATCGGATGAAGTGGTTAGAAAATAGATGGATGTATAAAATACCACATTAAAACCTCAATTAATTTTGCCTTTGACTCCCCAAATGCCACATGGGAAAATCCACAAAGCTACTTTTTTGCTCAGTTAATACAATCTTGAAACTGCTGTAGTGCACATTCCAACAATGAGCAGGCAAGTCTAAATAGAGGGAAAAAAAGCTAAATAGTTTGTAACCATTGTCGAAAGCATGCACTGAAAGCCATGACTAAAAATGCCAATGTCACCTTATAGGAAATACAATAAAAATGCTCAGTGGGCAAGAAATAATTCCGATTTTTGTTTTTGAGCATTGTAATCGTTGGTGTTGAGGATACTCGTGTGTCAGTACAAAATAAAAGCAGTTATTTTTGTCCCTTAACCCTACGGGGAAAAAAAAAAACAGGCAGCCCTCACCTGCGAAACATTTTATTTTGCTTTCAACCCTGCTTTTCAGAACCCTGTCATTTTTCCATGAGAGCCTAGCGATGTGAAATTGAAACTGTCTTATACTTGAACAAGCTCCAGAAGATTTTGTTTTAGTCTTTTTTCTTGTCCGCCCACATTTTTGAGATTGTTGTCCACAAGCTGTTACTGTTTCAAACCAGGCAGTGCAGGCGTGATTCTTTTTGACAGGGTCTAGTCCTGTTACCAAGCCCTAATTACTGAATGGCTGGGTATTGTTTCGTTAACACACTTGTTCTGTACAGTATGTCAATCAATGTTTACCTTAATAAACTATGTAAACTTAAAGCAGGTGAAAAGGGCAGCCTTAGAAAGCACCTTACGTTGTTTATTTTTAACATACATTTTTACCAGCTTCATTTTAAGTCGCCCACATTTTTAACACAGCTTCATTTTAAGTGCTTTTATCACAAAACCACAAAGAGACACTCGTTTTGGATGTTGCTTACATATGTCGGTTTTCGATATTTTTAAACACAGCATCAGGCTTCAGAATGAAGCACGTGATTTGACCGATATTAAGGTTTTTCCATCAGTCGCGATATAGAAATACATTCGCAAAGTACAGTAGTTATTTTAATATGCCAGAGGAAACAGAGTAACAGGTGCTTCCTGGAGACGTTGTGCCTCTGAAAAGGATTCCCTGTGCACGTCTCAGCTGAGCAGATATTTTTTAAATATGTTTTTCTTTCCTCCTCAGAAGAACATTTTGTTTAACCTGTTTTTCTTTGGAACCCTAAACTTACTCACATCTGCAGTACTCCCATATGGTTTGTTACAGGAAAAGCATGGCGGAGGCATGAGTTAAATCTGCTATCTCTAATTAACTCCTGTACAATGGAAAGAAATATTCCCTATGGTTCAGACATACCCTACCATTACCCTGCAGGCTGATAAATGTGTACAATATAGAATTCCATGGACTTACAGCCCACCCTGTTGCCATAACAATAAATTAACCATCTCCAATAAGGGCAAGTATTGAATAGTGATTCAGTGTATTTTGTTGCCTCCAGGATTCGAGAAAATATATTTTGGCATCTGGAAATTAACTCAGGGAGTGCAAGCACAGTATTCACTAACAGGTGCTGTTACAAGATTCAGGGAAAGAAGACTTTTTTTGTTGTTGTTTCGATCACTGGAGTGCCAAGGTCAATAAACGCAGTACATATAAGAATTGATCACTTAGGTGCTGATATAGTTTCGGATTTTATCCCTTGGTTCCCAAGCATTTGATATTTCCTGAAGTCGCTTTTTTACATGTTGTAACTCTTTGACTCATTGTTTTAGGTGATAAAAATAAAATCAGAAGCCATTTAGTGCTAACACATATATATCTCTCGCATGAAAATCAAACTGAATTAAACAAAACTGGATTAATGCTAGCCACGAGTAGGGTTGCTTTGAAATAAGTGCTCATACAGGACCTGTTTTAAATAATAAGTTCAGTCAACATGGTTATCATGGTAATGAAGTCTCATTATTTTGAAGACATTAATGCTTTCTTTAGTGACTACAGTATATTCTGTAGATAACACTGCTTTTGCCCTTTGTATTATTAATCCTTTTGGGTATCTGAGTGCTTCTTGGTTTTGATAGAATATAAAGCTATTCATTTTTTGGACAGTGTCAACCACATACCTCGAACAGAATAATGTATAAAAGGTAAATGTTGCATATTGCAAATCACATCATCCAACGTGGTAGCTGAGATCAGGTTAAATAAGATACGTGTACAGAATTCTGCAACTTAATTGTTTCTAAGGCTGTGTGAAGTCCTTGCAAGCTGACATGCCACAAAATAAAAACCTTTCATCTGTCCAAATTAATACCTGGTATTAATATCTTTCTTTTTAAATAGTGCCTCTCAGGATGGTGCATCATATCAATGCATAGTACAACAAATCAAATAAAAGAGGTATACATAAATTAAAATTAAAAGCGACTACAAAAGCATGAATTAGGACAGGATTTAAAAGTTTTGGCTGACTCGTACAGTCCGACATCACCTGGGAGGTTACATAACAGAAGACCAGTGTTCAGAGTCTTGGGATAGGAGAGCAGCAGTGTACTGTAAGTGTGTAGGGAGTTAGCTAGCTCTCCCATGTAGTCAAACCTTTTCACCATTTAAAAATGAGCAGCAGTGCTTCAAATCATATCCTGAAATCCACAGTCCTCCAGTATGAGGAACCTACAACAGCCAATATAATCTTGTGTTGTAGTTTTGTTGTAAAATCCAAGCAAACGAGTCCTGGGCATGCTGCAAGCTGTCAAGAACACAATTGAACACACCAGATTGGGATATCGAATTGCATTAATCGACGTAATCAAGCTAGTAATGGTGAAGGGATTTAAAAGGCCCAGGTGACATTGGACTGGAAGAACCAGATATCAAATCCTCTTCTCATGGCCTGGGTTTTTTAATTATTATTTTTTTCTTCTCTTGTTTTTTCTTTTGGGGGGGGTTCCTTCAGAATACGGAAACTACTTGTACATCGAAGGCAGCCAGAAAACAGAGGGGCAGCACGCCAGGCTGATTAGCCCCGTAGTTGCTGCCGAGAAAGGGCCGCTCTGCCTGGTGTTCTTGTACCGCATGAAGGGTGAGGATGTGGGTCCCCTGCAAGTCCGCATGAGGGATACCGATCTGGAGGAGACCGTTCTGTGGGAGCTGAAGGGGGACCAGGGCTCCTCATGGAACGAAGGCCGGACCGTCCTGCCTAGGTCACCAAAGGAATACCAGGTGCCCATCAGTATTAAAAATGAAAGTCAGTCGGTGTCAGAATTTTCACTGCCAACAAATAACTGATGTAATCAAGACAATCTTAACATGACCAATTCTGATGATAAAAGAGAACTTCAAACCTATGCCAGTGAACTACTTATAACACACTATATGAAGACTGAGGGGTGAGAAAAAGATAAATTAATTGGATGGGCAGAAAAAGGGGGTCAGACCTGTTGTCCAGCATTATGGTTGCAGAGACTGCAGCTGCTGCCTTCTACCACATAAAAAGTAGAATGAAGACGCAGTCTCTGCGTTTCTGCAGTTAGAGGTGGTCAGTCTGTGGATTAGGAAGAGTATTTTAAAGGGACTCATCACTTTGACTACTGCAGTGAAAGTTTAAAAAAAAATAATCATAAAATAGCCTGTGTTCCTAAACCCTATAGTGCACAGAACTTGCACGTGTGTGAAATGCAGAAAGCCCTTTGCACTGGGGAAATAAAAAAGGCTGGCTGTCTTCCGACATTCCTTTCTATGATATAGAACACAGAAGCTGGAAAAAGGAGAATCAAAGCATTTCCACTCGAAATATTTAAGCTCCATAAGCAGAGCTTCCACTAGGATTTGACTTTGTTCTTTGCACAACACTGTAGCTTTGTGTAGCTTTCAAGTAAGAAGCAAATTGCTGGGCTTTCTTATGGTTATTAAGGGTAAATATGCCAAGGAGTAATAGTGTGAAATTGTGATCTCCACTCTTACTCAAAAAACATCTCACTGTACTTAATGGAAGCTGATGCTCTCTCTGCTGGGCAGCAGTCTCTTTCCTTGATTACCAGACCATGTGTTTGTTGTCTAAATCGCAAACAGACAAATGCAGATCTGACAACCCCTTTGTCTGTGACAGCAATAAAAAACAAAATGAGCTCAAATGGCAGAATTCCATTTACCACAAAGGTGTAAGACAAGACACTGCCACAGGAGCTTTTCGTGTATTAGGATCAGAAGCAATATGGAGGTGATTAATTATTAACACAGTGATGTTGTAAAATCTGTCTCATGACACTGGATGTATTTTACCGGCTGTAATTATGCATATCTTGTAAGTCACTATTTATTAATGTTCCAATTTTTTTATTTCAGGTTGTGATGGATGGGTTTATTGATCATGGCACAAGAGGGAATATATGGATAGATAACATCGACATGACCTCTAGCATCCCACTGGACGAATGCACTCGTAAGTTACCCTAACATTAAAAAAAAAAAATTGCTAACACTTCCAAGAATCATGTGAAGGAAAGGCAGCACACCACACCCAGTTATTTTAAGATGCATTGATTCTCTTGATTTATTCTCAGGGCTATAAAGGCATTTGGGGAGACTTTCAAAGCAGAAAGCCCTTTAATGTGTGCTCTTTTAAAAAAAAACAAAACTAGGGCACAAATGCCCAGTAGGCCACAATTTCGAATGTGTGTTTCCTTGCCTTTATTTATTTGTAAACACAAGGGCTCCCAGAGTCTTCAGAATTAAAAGAGCTAGTCAGATCGGTTTCTAATTAAGTTTTGAGTTTGTGTTTAAAGCTTAAGGTCTAGCATAGGGAATCTGTCTTAAGGTTCTGAACTGACCATTTCCAACAGGGTTCAGACAGTAAGAAGCTGTGTTTGTTGTCCAATTTTCTGGTCAAATCCAATCAGTCCAAATCCAGTCAAACTGATTTAGTCTCATGGGGAGATCACATTCTCAGCGCTAGAGTCGTTATACACTATTTAATGGTGGTGTTTGTACAGGGCAGATATTGTGCTGGTTTTCTAACCCATAAAGTCAATTATGGTAGTGTTTTATACACAGAAGCAATACATTCTAGCTAAAATATTTTATGTTATTTTTTTTATCTAAAAATGAAATTGCCCATGTTTAATACACATTGACTGCTTTTAATTCATTTAACCTGTTGGTTCGGATCCCAGATTAACAGAGCTGTAAATTTAAGCAAATAAAACAAATGTTTTTCTTTCGATGTTTAGGGAGAGTAGTGCAGCGAAGCTCTGATGAAGTCGGAAGATGTTTCGTTCTGCGTATCAAAGCTTGATTAGCTTAGTTCAGAGTTCCTTTTGCGGTTTGCTTCCTTTCTTGGGTTGCCTGCTCAATAATGTTCTTTTTGTCTTTCAGAACCCATCAGTGCATTTCGACCCGATATGACCGGTAAGTTTTTGCCAGTTTTTATACTCAACTTTGTGCTTCTGCTCAATATGCAGCATAGCTAGAAAACCTGGCAAGGGGTTAAGACAACTAAGCAGGGTTATAAAGTAAAACTATCTCTGCCGGTTTTACAGATGCAGCAATTCTGAGCAAGTGTCTGTTCCCTGCATTACGAAAGGCTTCGGTCACAGTTGTGTGAAAATGCAGCTTGTCAGCTAGATGCTGCTTTGGCGATCACACACAAGCAAATGTTCTGGAGCCATCTGATTCGAAAGCATGCCTCGATACAAGTAAAATGCATGCTACAGTTTTAATTCCCAGCTATTGGATGTTTCATTCACCTTAAAACACAAAATGAGCTCACCACCAGAAATACACCTTGTAGAGCTCTAAGGTGTATCCTTGTGTTCTTTGTTTTCATTCTAAAAGTCCACAAGGATTTTCATGTGTAGGCTTGTTTAGTGCCCAGTTGGTGTATGTGAATGTCTCAAGAGACAGTACCTCCTAGCCTTATATACACAAAGGGAGTCGAGTTGTTTGAGCAACTGTGTGGACAAGAATTGAAATTTCTTCAGCCCTATAATGTGTTCTATCTACACCCAATATTCGGGTAGCAGGTATGCAGTTTTCAAACTAGTAATTACTTAATCGTAATTCTACAAATGTCATTAGTCACTAATGACATTTGTGGAATTACAATTAAGTAATTACTTACTTACACACACGAAATTCACAGCCATGAATGTTACTGTGATCACGGCCAGTTTGACAAAAATGAAATGCAATTGGTTTGCATCCAAATACCACTCACCATTCTAACAAAAGGAGCCATGCTATGTTGACTGTTGATTAAACTAGTGGAGAGGACAGTAGCACTCTGAGTAAGATGGCTGTCCTTCGGTTGGTATTCCTTAGAAAAATCAAATAAAAATAAGTGCACCCACAAAGCCCATGGACTAATGTGTTCGAAGAGATACAGTATGTAGAGTGTTATTTTGGGGTTTGTATTCCAATCTTGAAACACTAGTGGCCTGGGAAGGTTGCACTGAAACCATTGTAAGTGCTGTTAATGGTTTCCATGGAAGACTTTGGCTTGAGGCAGAGGATATCAGTTGAGAGTCATGCATGCACATAAAAGCACCTCCAGCCATTCCTGCAAAGAATTCACTCAAAGAAAAGACCCATCCTTGTGCCAAAAACTACTAACAAATGTTTAACATCTGACTGGTCTGTGGAGTCATTTAACTCTGGTTCACCCTGTGTAGTTTAGTTTAACACTATAGGAAAATGTGTATCACCCAGCTACCCAGTCTGACTTTCAAGTCAGAGCCAAGTTGCTCCCCTTTTAACCAAAAACATCACATTTGAGGAACTTGGGGAACACATGTGAGCTCAGGTGAGGCTGATTGTTCAGTCTCACAGCAGCATTTCAACCCTGACATTAAGCTCTCATTGTGCTTCACCAGAATAATAAGGATGTGCCCTAGGGAGTCAGTGCCTGAAAATACTGGAAAGTAGTCTGGATTTATGCAAGTGAAGGCCAAATTAATATTAGAATGGCTGAAATAGTGACTCTTTGCTCCAGGCAATATACTTTAGAGACCTCCAGGTGTTTGTATTGTGATTATAGCAGACCCTTTTGCATTTGATAGCGACATCTTAACATCTCAATTGCAACCTTTTGCCCTAAAACACAAGCTATATTGCTCATTAGCTCAATAGTAATAATAATATGCCAGCACAAAAAAAAAACCCATTTTGGCTCGAATTAACCAATAAAAGGGAAGAAAAGCATGCATGCGTGCCTGCCTGTCCATGTGCAGTAAATGTCTTTTATATTTTCTTTGTATGCAAAACAAAAACAATAAAAAAGTAGTCTGCATGCTTCCCTACCCAAGCCAATTCTTCTGTGTCTCTCCACTAGGGGGCACCCTTCCCGGAGGGAGCGAACCCACTGTAGACTCGGTGTCAGTGCAACCCATTCCAACCTACTGGTATTACGTAATGGCCGGGGGTGGCGCTCTCCTGGTCCTGGTGTCCGTCGTGCTGGCCATGGTGCTCTGCTGTCACCGGTACTGCTACACGGCCAAGAAGAGCCATCTCTCTGTCTCCTACAAAAACTCGCATTACCCCCCTGCTACAACCCCCGGAGTGGAGCCCACTCTGATTATTAGAGTAGAGAAGGAGGACCATAACTCCCATTGCTGAGGAAGTAGGACCTCACAGAACTAACAAAGATCTCCCACCTAGATCTCTCACCTAAACAGCGAGATCTTGCCTAAGATATTTGCACTTTTCTAAGTATTTTGATGGGTTGGAATAAAATATCTATGTACTGCCTTTTTTTCGATTGGATGCTGCATCTGAAAATGATATATAAATAAGAAAATACGGGACGGCCGTGGACGTGCAGTTTGGATAACGAAAGAAGGAATGCGTTTGCTAACCTTACATTTCTGCCCGCCTTCTTTGTAAGCGGTTTGGACCCGAAAGCAAAAATCATAAACCAAGCCAGAAGCTCATGTGATACCGAGTCCTAATGTATGAAAGTACTGAGGACTGCTTATGGTCTCAGGCTCCCACTTTGAGCTGCATGAGAAAATAAAAAGTCTAGCTCAAACAGGTACCCCACCCCTCCCTTTGGTTTTTAACCTCAGAATAGATGTTCTCAGGTATCTGGAGGTTTGGGGTGTTCCACAGAGCAATGGGAGGCACTTTACAGAGAGCGATATCAAGACACACAGTGCCACAGCACTGAAATGAGCTGGAATCCAAATCTCGAAATCTTTCTCTCTACCTACAACTCCCCCGATCACAACAAGAACTGTGGGAACGAAAGTGCACTCTTGCCTACAGTTCTGCAACAGCTCTAAGACAATTATGAGACATGGGACTCTTTTTTTTTTTGTACCGTCTCGGAAAACGGAAAGCTTTTTACAGCAGCCTTCTCGGAGAACAGAAATGTATTCAAGAGGGATTCAAACCCTGCTGTGTTCGAAAGATGGGAGGCATAGCCTAGGACAGCATTAGCATTTTCATGCTGCATTTATGAGCAGAGAGCTCCCAACCTGTTTTTGACCATTAAGACATTTGATTACAAAAAAAGACGAGAAGAAAAAAAAACAATTGTTTTTGCATCTGCACACCTGTGAATTGAGATATTGTGTTTACTATATGCAAAAAGAATTCTATTTGCCTTACGTAGCCTTTTGTTTCTGAGAAGCCTGTGACGCCACTTTTACTTGACACTGGCCTTAAACTATGGGGGTGGTGAGAGGATACCAAACATCTGTGAGAAAGTTTAGATTTGTTTTCTTAACTTTGCCTTCGCAATTACTGTATATTTTTGCTAACTTAAAATTCGCAGTTGAGTAACGACGAATGTTAAAACCATGTGAAGTCTTTGCATTACCATAGGATTGTCAAGCACTTGTATTGCTGTGGATGTAGATAGGGTGCTCCCTTACACTAAAAGCAAGAAAGCGTTGTTTCTGCCAGTATGATTTTGGCTTTACAATTTGGGCATGTTTAATGCAAAACCAGGGGTTGCCCCCTTAAAATGATGCAGCCCAAAACCAAGTGACTTTCACATCACCTTAGAAAACAAACATCCAAGTGTTGATGATACACAAATCTAAAGGATTCAAAACCTCATTGTTGCTGCACTTTCAGAGTAGCAGTAGGCCTGAAATTGTAGGCCACATTACAAACGCTTTACAGTAGTTTGGGCGGACTCTAATAATGACAAAACGAGCCGACGAATATAAGGGACAGCATTCTTAATACTTTTGAGATAGCTTGAGTGGCTGAGGAAATGAAAGCACTGGTAAAAGATCAGCACCGTCACCACCCCTTGTATGAGGAGTGAACCAGTGAGGCAGCTACATGGGTGAAGTTGGAGTGAAGGGAGGAGTCAGAACAGATGAGCACAGAGTTGAGTGCAGCCAGTGAGCATTTATATGTAGCCAAGAGGAAGCATGACAAAAGAATTTGACCATTTAATGTAGTGTCTCAAAAGCCACTGCTTCTCCCCTTTACAGAATAGTGTCATCTCACATGTATAGGCAAGTTGCTTCTTTCCTAGTATTCTAAATTGTTTGCTAGACTGTTTTACATTTCGTAAAGCGTTTTCTGATCTGAGCTTATCTTCCAATAGATGGAGTGATGCTAAGCAGTGGACAGTTGGTATGGGGGTGGAGTTTGAAGAACAATTGGGGGAAATGTAACGGTTCTATAAATTTTTCACTTCACAATGCCTGACAGGCACACGATTTTGTCATTCAGTCACCACACAGAACTGGTATCTGCAGAGAGTGTGATTCTCTAAGAAATACAGGCCAGGACCACGTTAGCAACTACTGGACACACCTTTTTTTAAGCCAACTTTTTAAATACCAGTCAAGGTTGTGATTTCTTTCAAGGGTTGAGAACCAGTTCAAAGTGCTTATTATTTCATTACTACATTTTTTCTTATTGTCTTCGTACGACAGAAAGGAAAGATCCAGGAATCTATCTAAAATGGTGCTTGACTTAGATCCACATGCTCTATTAGGAGTTTTAAAAATGAAAATATTTCCATTTGTGGTTTTCACAAAAAGGAAAAAAAAGGCTACACTATCTTTTTACATTCTACATCTGGCTATAGATCACAATAATCTTTTTATGAAGTGTTTTCACTAAAATTCTTCTATTAATCCAGTGCTTATAATAGAGCATGTGAAAGAATAGGGAAGATCAAAGGACCTTTTTAAGAGCCTTTCACAAAGCACGAGCAAATGGAATTTCTGAAATATGAAAGCACATGAATAATCTCAAATATTACAACCACCTGTCTCGTCCAGCCTTGGATAATATCTCCATAAAAGGAGATTTACATCAGGGTTTTCTGTAATCCTAGTTAAAAGAATTGTCTCCTTTTTATCAGTCACATAATGGGATTGTACTATACAGTAGCACAGATACCAGCATAGGATAAACCTAAGTATCTGTATCTGTTGATCATATACCCAGATATTTTTGGTCCTACACAGGACAGTTTCTCTGAAGATTTTAAAAGGTTTTATTTATCCATACAAACCTTTTTATAAGAACGTATTCTTTGATGAAGCACTGTACTTGATAGCTACATTTTAGAATTTGTCACCGTTGTAATGTAGAATGACAAATGTCGAGAAAGTGTGAACCACACCTATTCATTTCAAACTCAACTACAATCTAATAGGGTAATGTGAAATGTGATACTGGCCAACCTTTTGGTTTTTGACAAGGACTTCTGACTTAAGTGTCCTGCTTATAAAGCGGCTACTTAGAATTGTCTTTTTCTGTTTGTTCAACTACATATTTCAAATGATCAAGTAAAAAAACAGCCTTAAGGAAGCTGTGTTAAGCTGTGTTTCAAAATCTGTTCACCGAATGGATCTGTGATCCTATCCTACCTGGACTGTCAAGAAAATCCTGTTGGATTTGGTATATAAAATTCTTATTTAGGTACAGAGGTCTACAGCAGTCATACTTGGTTGCTGAAGACTTTCAGGGTCTTCTGGTTTTTGGTCCACCTTAAACTTTGTATTGACTCAGTTTACCTAGTTTATTGGACATTTTGAAGGCCAAAGGATTAGGTTTACCAAAATATCTCAAAATCATTCCATATTCCTTATAATTCATTTTCTATCAAGACTGTGTGGAAAAAGAACATAATTCGATAACCATTTTTCTGCTTCAGAACGCTTGTTCCCTCAGGGCATCTCACTTTTACAGATAGCGAAATTATACAATTGTGGAGCCATGCAGATAAGTGCAGGTTCACAACAGGTAATTTGAATGAACCAGGGAACAACATGGAGGTGATGACTTTTTGGATTTTGTTAAATGCAGTCATTTGAAAGTAGGGATGGGCAATTCAATATCTAGCAGAATATGCAGGATTTTTTCAGTTACCAGGTGATTAAGACTTTAACAGATGCTTCACATCTCAAGATAATTAAATGAAACAGTGGCTCTTGATTAGTGTGGTTGCTCATCCTTTGTTTACCAGATGCACCTGATACAAGGTCCACTATTTTAAACCTTTCTCAGGCCTAGATACTACTGCTACTTTTCTGTTTAATCAAAGGTGAAATGGTTGGATTTATAACCAGAAGACCTTGCAATGTTCCTGAAAATGTACAACACACAGTTTTTCCTATGCTCTTTCACTGTGTCTTTATAGCTTCAGTACAGGTGATATTAGGCTCAGGGTATTTTGACATTTGCATTTGTGAACTTCGTGATTCAGGCATCTTTCTATCTTTTTGTCTTTCTCGGACGAAAATGTAAAAGAGTTGATGGAAAAACAGTCTATTGTTCTTGTCTTGTCCTATCCCTGGTAATGTGAATGCTCTGTTTAAGTACATTTTCAAACAAGTTCATGACGCGCAGCAAAATCTTTGTCGAACCCCTCACTATTTAAACTGGCCTTAGTAAAGGTTCCAATACAAAGGCCACTATTCTAGAAGGTTCCTTTTTACAGTTAAACCCCCCAAATAAAGAATAAGTTATAATGCCATTATCGGAAATGAAGGAAAAAGTAATGTTGCTGAAGGCAGCATTGGGGGATTTTGCAAAGACTGAGATACTTAGAATACTTTGGCATATTCCCATAATGTGCTTTTAAATCAACTTCAGGCTCTGTTACTTCCCATAAATTCCTTTAAAGCTCATAATATTTTTAATTAGTTAATGGACCAGATAACATTTATTACACCTGAAGTAAGCCTTTTCTCTCCCTTCTCCCCCCCCCCACCCCCGTTCATGAACAAAATATTAATGAGAAAAAGCACTCACAGTTTGAATTTTCCTTTGGTCTTCGAGCTTAAAACGAATGAGCAGTGCCAAGGTGTAGCTCCTGGCTGGGCATTTTTTTTCTTTCAACTGTTGCATTCTTGCTTGGAAAGATAAAAAAAAAACCCGCAATGCTGTATGCATCCTGCAGTCATTGCTATAGCACAAAATGACTCATGCACTTGTTTGTTTTTTGTGTGCGAACAATTCAATTCCAAGTTCGCTAGAGACTAAGAGGCCGATTTGACTTTTGAGGGAATTAGCAATTCATCAAAGGGAAAATATTCCACCCGATAAAATATTGTAGAACTGTTTTTGACTTGGTGCCGTCTCAGTGAAAACTTGTTTCTGGTCCTGGATAGTTAGAAGGTAACCCTCTTGTTTTGCCACACCTGAGCTCCTGAAGATTGAATTCACCTAAACTGTCACTGTGTTCAAGGCCTTAGCTATGAAACCTGCTGTAGTGTTTATACTACACACCTGATGTCAGTTTCCACAATCAGGATTGAGTATCCCTGCTATAGCTGACCTTTCTGCTTCAGGTGGAAGCTTATGTTGTGTACTGAAAGTATTAAAAACACTGAAGGCTGAAGCAGACCGTATTGTAGCTAGAAGAACCTAAGACCTTATTAGCTTTTTCTCCCAGTTTAACCCATGGAAGATGACAACTGATTTAAAGCTAATCGCTGGGTAACTTCATGTTTCCCCAAATCCAATTTACAAGTGAGTCTTCACCAGGATGGTTTGTTATCCTTCTGTAAACTTTGTGTCCTCTCTTTGTGAATGTAACGCTTTGACTGTGATTGATTCATATCCTGAGCCATGTCCATTGCGCTCTTCAGCTTATGGCCTGTTTGTAAGAAAAAAAAAAACGAGAGAAAAAAAAGATATGAGGAATATTTCAGCTTGTGGAATTTACGTTATTGAAGATGTATTGTGTGGAATGTAATAAAATAATATTTTTCTATATATGCACTTTCCTTTCTTGAGAAGTTGTCAAGCTTGCAGTTGCTGTGGGTCGTTTATAACAAGTCATAAAGAAAAGACTTGGGTTAGTGTTGTTTTACTGTGCCGAAGAAACTTTTCTTTTCCCCCCACATCTTCAATCTTCTAAATCTAGTCATCTGAAACCTCCTACATTTAGTAATTACCACTTTTGTATCCTCCCCTGCAGTTTATTTCTATCAAATGAAGATCATGCGATTCCAAGTTCTCAGTGTAACACCCTCCCTTGATATTTTTTTGCATTGCCATAATCTTTGATTCCCTTAACGAATTACGATCTGTGGTTCGGTTACTTGGAAAATAAATACGATTGTAACGACATCATTGGTTTTCCAGTAAGGTCCTCATCCAGTAGGTTGTTTTTTTTTTTCCATATTCTAACGTTTAGAGCCTGACAGACACTTACATCAGTTTGTAATGTTTACCTGACAGTTAATCTATTTAATTTACTAACTCCAGGACCCAATCCGTCCATCCAGCCGATCAGTATCAGACAGACAGTTATTGCTGCTGAGGGCCAGAGAAACCCAAGCCTAATCTGGAAGCACAGTAGACGAGACAAGACCACAACTTGTACTAGACACCAGACCATTGTAGACTGCTTGGCCACATACTGAGACAGTTTAGATGCACCAATTAACCTATAGAACGAAAGTCGATAATCCATAGCCCATATCTGTGAGGAAACAGAGCTAGCCACCACAGGGACCTCATACAAACTCATTTCCATCCTGCTGGGTAGCTGTAAAAACCATACAGATCTCCATGGCTGTTTCATGTCTGCACATTACCTGTCTCATAAAAGAATCTTAGCATAGTACTTATAAAACACTTGGTTTATTCAAAATGGCAGTTCATTATAGTGTATTTTTAGAATACAGCGTGTAAGATACTGCACACAGTGGACGGTAAAGAATTATGCATACAAAAAGACGTGCTTTTCTGTAATTGCATTAATAACACAGGTGCATAAAAGTGATCCATGCTGGAGAAAGGAGAAATGCATGTAGATTTAGAAGTGGGTAATGCAAATCCAAATGTTGCTTATATTGGGACACAGAATGTCCAAACCTCAATGCCCTGTGAATGTAGAACTACCTTTCCCAGTGGATTTTTGTATGTTTATGCCCTTATTCGCATGGCTGCCTGTAGAAACTCATTGAAGACAACGTCACGGTTTTTCCCCTGTTGGTGGTTCTGCTTGAGTACTGAAAGGTCCGGTGTTTTTCTGTCTTCCTGCACAGGAATAAAACACGGCCAAGCTACAGACAGGACACCAGACTGCAAGGAAGAGCCAGATGGCGGTACGTTTAAGTCTTTTCTTTCTGCGGCAAGATATTACCAAAATATCTTGAGATTGGAATAATGTGTAAAACGGTTTTGCCTGAATTCTCATCTATGAGATTTTAAAGACCTTCAGCCCAATCAACTTCTGAGGCTTTTCTCAGTTCAAGCCAATTAGAAGAGTTAACGGCCTAAATAAACCGTGCACCAGAAAGTGCTCTTATTATTCAGGAGACAGCCAGGAGAGCTGCTACAGTAATGCAATTGTCTCTGTCTGAAGATTAACAGACTGCCTTGCAAACTAGTGAAAAGAAGAAATATGTCTCAAATAAAAAAGGCCTGGGAAACAGATTTCATTAGGTTATGTGTATCTTATTTTCCCCGCATTTCCTTGAGTAATGTATTACCGGTAAGTGGTCTGCTGTTTACACATTGATTCAGATTTATTTCTACAAGGGGTAACAGTGCAATAGAATTCTTTTTAATTCATGCAATAACGCTCACTTGTAAATCACCATTTGACCGACTCAGGAATCACAGTAATGTCAAAAGACATCTGCCGGCAACATGAAACTAATTACCATTTGGAGCACCATCACTTGGGTCATTTATTACCTTATTCTTAAGAATTGTAAAAATGATCCGAAACTTTCATTTTTCTTGGCTGAAGCGTGTGGAATTACAATGTATCCCCACAGCCAAACGTATAGTAACAACAAACAAATCTCTTGGACTTCTTTATTAGCTTTGGCGAGAGCTCACAAACAGAAACTGTGGAGGGTATTGCATTGGGTACCAAAGGGTGTCAGTTTCACATTATCCTTGTGTAACCTCCTGCCGAGGTGAAAGAGGGCAGAAGCTGCCAGAAAAAATAATGTTTTTTTCACTTTTTTTTATTTAGGTACATATTATTTTACCTCAGCTCACGCTGTATACAACACTAGTGGATTTCTTTCATTCTTAAGCACTGGATGAGAAGCCAGGCTGAGGCTGAAAGTACAATAATTGACATTTTGGCTGCACTGACACCCAGGGACAGATTAAGGAACTTAGAGCTATTACATTAAACCCTATCACCTTAGCAGGAATGCATTAGTATTCACAGCTAGGAAGACATATCTCAGCTGGTGAGACAGTCCCACATTCTCCTTTTAGGTATCATTCAACAGAATAGGAAATGGCCCGTTTTTCCCTAGTCTCAGAACACTGCTGTGGTATTGGCTATGGTGGAAGCACATCCTAACCTTGAAAACAACAGGAAATACTGTGGGTACATATTAATTCTTCACAGCTGGGTGAATTGAGGCCTTCAATGTATGGGTGAAGACAGAAATTGAGAAATTGAAAATTCCTTACAAGACCAGTCCGTGAAATTCCATATTCGCAAGCTCTGGTATCCCAGATGCAAAAGATCCTTTCTGTGCTATTGGCCTATGTAAAATTAATAATAACTCAAAAGACTGACTTCTAACTGACCATGCCTCATTTTTTTTACAGTATATTTCTTTGGTAAAAACTATATACTATATAGTGTATACAGTATGTTTCATCTCCTGTTTGTAGGATTCCCAACATGGGGTGGCGATTGGAAGTATTGGTTAGGACTCTGGGATCATTATAGTAGGACTGTGCATTGAAATCCCAGGTGGTGAACTGCCTCTGTATCATTGAACACAGTACTGCTCCTCAAAATTGCTCTACTAAACAGTATTAATCAGCACCAAAAAACTAAACAAAAACATGCTACTGCTAGGAGTGAATAATATTCACAGTATTTATTTCACTAGGAATAACAACCCAAAGAATCAAGTGTTATTGAAAAATGTATGGAGTGTTTTAGTCACAATAAAAGTTAGCTTAACCTTTTTGGCTACAAAGGCGGAGGTAAGGAGGAGATGGAATGCAAAAGGAGAAAACGGGATTACGTATAGTATTTCTAATGTTTTATGTGAGGAAATGACTTCAGATTTAGTTAAGAGAGGGAGAGAGATCACTTTTTACAATTTACAATTTCTTGCATTAGGAGTTTGTCTTTTCACATACCCCAGCTTGCTCTCCATGAGAGACACAGACAGGGAGAGAAGCTTGTGGTCAGAACACAGGGTCAGCCATTAATATAAGGTGCCCCTGGAGCAGTTGGAGTTAAGGGCTTCGCTCAGGGGCTGAACAGATTAGGATTCCTCTGCCAGCCGGGGGATACAAACCGGCAACCTTCCAGGCACAAGCGCAGATTTTTAGCCACAGAGCCACTGCAAATTAGGAAATCAAATTCTTAATTTCATTAAGAATTACTGACAGCTGTCGTCATCCCTCCCCGAACTTTCCTTATAAACTTCATTAATTGATTCGCAGACAAAAAAAAACATTTGTCTGCACATCAAACTTGGATTCTTTTGGAATCTACTTTACTTCCTCTCCCTCTTGTCCGTCGTGCGGCGTTAACCATATGCCAAAGAGTGATGTTTTCCCACTGTTTATTCCTCCAGGATTTCCCAGCACCAGGCCTTCCTTAGATCCCACAGCGACTCGAACGCCTGAGAAGGATAACTCCTGGCTGTACACCTTGGACCCTATCCTGGTCACCATCATCGCCATGAGTTCCCTGGGGGTTCTCCTGGGCGCCATCTGCGCCGGCCTCCTCCTCTACTGCACGTGTTCCTACAACGGCCTGTCCTCGCGGAGCTCCACCACGCTGGAGAACTACAACTTCGAGCTCTACGATGGCATTAAGCATAAAGTCAAAATCAACCAGCAGAAATGTTGCTCCGAGGCCTGAAAGGGGACCTGGAACGGCCCCGGAACTGCCCGAGGAGAGCACATCGCTTGGCGGATGAATCAACCTCTTCTCCCCCACCCCCCCAAGAAAAACACCGCTGTTTGAAACGGCGAGTTACCAGGTTACCAGTTACACTCGGCAGTCCCTGATTGACTGTTCCGTGGGTGCTAAAAAAAAAACGAAAACATATCATTAAAATGCCTCGCCCAAAAAACAAAACGGATTGAAACGGAAACAAAAAATACTTTCGAAGCGTTTACTTTTAAAGTAAACTGGCACGCTGCTCAAGTCCAATTCAAATCACCTCGACATGGAAAAATGGTGGCCAAGGATTTTACATTGAAATGTAACGAGAAGATGGTGGATCGTTATTTTATGGTATCCGTGTCTTTATAACGTAACGGCTTATGTTTTACTCCATGATGTAGACTGTGCTATTTTTAGACCATTCTTTTTGTATGTGTCAAGTACCACGGTCTTAATCCTCTGTTCCAAGTACAGTATGTTTATGATGTTAAATGTTTTTAGTTTGGATCATTGCCCAGGTTCTGAAAGAAAAAAAAAGGCAAAACAAGAAACGTAATGTTGGTAAGATAGATTTAGCATAAGAATATTTTTGGTGTTTATTTTTAAAAAGAATAGAGTCATGTGGTGCAACATCGAAGCATCCCATGAATGGCAGTGATATTTTTTCAGTGCAACCTATGGATTGCCAGTGGCTTGAGAAACAGAGACATTAATGCCTTGCAGAGCTTCATTTCAAAGATGGACAAAGAAGATGTGAATTTTAACCCTGCAGAAGTGAACTCACACTACACCCGTCCCACAAAGACTTCCGCTTCATGGTTGGGGGGGGGGGGAGAAATTCACATTTTGGACATATTAATGAGCCTTAAGCTAAATG